CCTAACAAAAATGCTGTAAACGTGTGAATGACTAATATGGAATTTTTACTACTATCAGACATTCTATTGCCACTCAAAGTGTTGTTTTTTTTTCAAGCTAACCAGATTGACAGTAGGTGGATTTCTCAGAGCAAGTGGAATCTGGAGTGTTCTCCCAAATATGGGAGATCTGGAAAAATCTTTGTATTTCCTCTGCCCCTGCCATCCAAAACTGCCAACTCTGATTTGTGTATGACTCAGAAAACCACCCCTTTGAGTTGTGCATATCTGTGATCCGCCTTGACCATACTTCACTCCTGATATACAACATTCCTGGAGAAAGGGAAACTCTCTCCAAAAGCCCATCTTTGATGTAAGCCTGATTCTAAAAATCCTCAGCTCCCTTAAGTTCCTCAGAAAATTTAAGATTACATTTCTCATGTACATTCTACTACAGGGGGAAATATTAGACTGGGAGAGTGATGAAAGAGGTGAGATAGGCGGCCAGGTTAATTAGCAAGGCATTTCAAAGTTAAGAGGATTTTTATTTTTAAAGTGCTTTTTCTCTTTTAAAGAATTACTTTTGGGGCATGTCATCTCTCAAGCACTCTTTGACCTATAGGCTCTAAATTAGTTTTATTCATCTGATTTCAATCCTACACTTATGCCCATATGGAAATTTTGAGGGAACTTGAGGGTTGGAACTTACTTTCAGATTTATTTGCTCTATGGACTGGAAACTCAGCCCATTCCGTCCCTGGCTGGCAGAGTTTAAAATTTTATCAGTGGTCTGACATAATGTTTGTTGATCATGAGTTGCTGTCAAATAAATTCAGGAGACATCCGGGCTTTGGCAGAATTTCAACAGCTCAAAATACAGAGGTGAGTGTCTAAATAAAGTCAAATGCAAGGCCCTATACGTAGGAAGAAAAACAAGTAGGGCATATTGACAACATGAGGTACTGGATCCTAGAAAGCAGCGATTCTGAAAAAGCATCAGGGATCACAACAGATAACCTATTGAATATGACTTACCCTTGTGGCACAAAGGGCTAATGCCATCCTTGGATGTACAAATAGGGGAATATCAAGCAGGAGCAGGGATATATTACCTATTTATATAGCACTGCTGAAATTGTTACTAGAATACCATGGCCTATTCTGGTGTCAAAAAGCATGCTGAAATTGGAAAGCATTCAGAGCAGGACCACAAGAATGATTCAAGGCCTAGAGAAAATGCCTTACAGTGAAAAACTTAAGACATTCAACCATTTAGCTTAGGGAAGGGCAAGAGGCAACTTGAACATGCTATACAAGTACCTACACACAGTGCAAAATTTCTAGATTTCTCATCTAGGACACAACATGAGTGCTGGGAGCTGAAACTAAAAAAAAAATTAACAGGAAATAGAGAAAAACTTAAAAAAGTAAAATAAAAAGACATGTAAATAAGAGGGTAAATAACCATTTGAACAGTTTACAAGGGAGTAGTAGATTCTCCATTACTTGAAGTATTCAGATGAAGAAAAGATGTCTTCCTAAGACTTATATTTTAGTACAACCACAAATTATCAGGCTCAATACAGGACCTGGTGGGTGAAATTCAATAGCATGTGTCATGCAGGAGGTCATATTAAATTATCATAATAGTCCCTTCTGGCATTATAATCCATGAATATTTGATTTGAACACTGCAGTGTCTTGTGCTTAATTGAGTAACATGTATTGTTTTTTAATTCCACATCTGTAGTTGTAGTAGCCTGTTTTGCTATAAGACGACGTAATACTCTACAGTAACTTTGTACTTATTGGCTATAAATTCTTTTAAAAACATTTAAACAAAAAATCATTAAGATGTAGAGGAGAAATTATCAGGTGGAATTTTAATAAATAGGAAACCAATTTTGTCTACTTTTGCAAATTTCTTTAGCTTTTTAAATCAGTTTAGTTTCCAATAATCAAAATGCCATAGTCTTATTTCTTTGCCATTGATACTGGTTGGATACAGCTGCTCAACTATTATCCAAGAAACTTTTATATCTGCACTGCTATTTCTCTATCCTTCATAGAGAAGACAATGTTAGGAGAGGAAAGTTCTGCCCCAGAACAAATAAGTGTAGCTTACTCCTGTTTATTCAAATTAGACTGCACTTGCTGGTTAGAATGATGAACTTCTCAGTTTCTTTACATCAATATAATGCAATGTCAACGCATTTTTCTCTGAAGAAAACCAAGACTCAGAAACAGAAGGCACGCACCCCTCTGCCATGCTGGCACTTCTCTAAAGTTACTAACTTGCCCTCCTGAATCTCAGCTTTCGTTTTTTTAAAAGAAAGTCTAACTGTTATGATTGCGAAAAACCCCGCAAGAATGTGAGCCATTGTGTAACCAAAGCAGAGACAAGTCTACAGAGAGCCCATAATAGCAGCTTAGAGAGGTGTGAACTGCCCCTATACATCTCATTGATGCATGATGATAACTTAAAATGTCAACACTGTGAATTATTTAATTCCCTGTGTAAGGAGGAAGATGGTGGATCATAATGCTGCAGACTTTACTGCAAGTGAAGTATCATTTTGGCATCATAGAAAGGTGATGTTTGAGAGGCACCACTACTTATTTTTTCCTCCTGATCAAGAAGGAATGAAGCAAGAACACAAATACATGTTGAATATCTGCCCAATCTACTATGAGTAGTATCTCATTTTGGCAACTCACATGGGTGGAACTTAGAAAAGTAGCACCACTTTTTTTCTTCCCACTCTGACTCCTACAGGATGGGAAATGATACTTTTAAATGGCAGCTGAAATTATCCATCAAGATGAATGGTTTTAATAGAGAGGTCTCCAGTAGAGCCACATTTAAGAAGCACACATCAATCAACAGCCAGGAGCAAGAGTCTCCTGCACTTGGAGGACAGAGAGCATGAGACAGCAAAGAGACCATTGTATAGCTCCCCTCCCCACACATATGCAATGAACAGATTTCTACCCTCCACCAGTGTTCTGCCTGAGACAGCAACTGAGCTTAATGGAGTTAAAGCTGCTGCTAGCCATCCCACACAGTAACCTTGAGCAGATCGGAGCGACCTTCTCAGTCTGGGGAGGGCGACTCCTACATTATCTCTTGAAGAACATACCAAAGTTTATCTGTGACATTCTGATCAAAGATCAAGACCAAGTTTCTGTTCCGAACTGTAAAGTATTTCTTTGTTTCTTTTAAATATAGTTATGGCAGACATCTTTACTTATTTTCATTTGCCTGTCTGGGAATTGGGTAGGGTTCTCTTTTTTTTTGCTTAAATTTATTGCCCAGGACCCGTCCCTGACTTTTACTAAAAATACCTGTGACAGAATCTTAACCTTAATTATCATTACTCTCTCTCCATTAGCATTAATGGATTTTAGATGAGCAAAGTAAAGCTCTTCAGGGTTAGTCACATTGTTTACATCTTCGACTAATGGGTCTTGTGCTTTGATAGCAAATTCCTGCGAAATTTCATACATGCACCTCAGAATTCTTCAAGCACTTTCCCCCCACTTCCAAAAGAAGATTTTACATTATTTTTTATGCAGTCAAGAGGCTTCAGCAGAAGCAATTTTATTTCTGTTTCTCAATCATTAAAATGTCACAGCTGGCTCAAAATTACATGCTCCAAGGGGGTGCTCCCCAATAATTGAAATCCGTATATTTCCTCAATAGTTTTTCTAGAAGTGCTATCTGCAACAATGAGTCATCTACTGCAGCACAACATCCTGTTCTCATGCCTCTGCAGCCCTTCAAAAGGAAAAGTACTACCTTTTAATAAAGAACATAATCCCAGGCACTGCATGGCTGCTAAAAATAATTAATTACAGTTTATCATGCTTAATGAAACTAACTGTAAATGAGACAGTAGAAAGTTTGACTATTTTATATGCACCTTAAAAATAAGGTACTTTAAAAAAGATTTATGTATTAGTTTTTTTAGTATTCCCTGCCAACAATCTATCACATCAATCTATCTTTGCCCAGGAAATGATAAGAAAATCGTGCTGAGAAAACTATGCAAAGAACCACATGTTAGGGTAGTTTTCCTGAACTGACTTTAGTGTCATAAATATTGCAACACAAATGGGGGTTTGTGCATTGTATGCATTCGATTTCCTTTCTGTTTCGCACAATTGCTTGAAACAGCAATTTAAGGGCTAGATCCTGTAACCTGAGCCTCTTGGGCACCCTCCCCTCCATCACTGGAGCCAATGGGTGTATCTTAGTGTATCTAGTTGTTACCTATATGAGCACTTCTCAAACTGTGGGTTGCGACCCTGTTTTAATGGGGTCGCCAGGACTGGCTTAGATTTGCTGGAGCCTGGGGCCAAAGCCCGAGCCCCACCACCCTGGGCGGAAGCCCAAGCTCCACTCCCTGGGCCGAAGCCCAAGCCCGAGGGCTTCAGCCCTGGGTGGCTGGGCTCAGGTTACAGGCCCCCTGCCTGGGGCTGAAGTCCTTGGGTTTCAGCTTTGAGCCCCCCGCCCAGGGCGGTGGGGTCAGGCTTTGGGTTTGGCTCCCCTCTCCTGGGGTCGTGTAGTAATTTTTGTTGTCAGAAGGGGGGTGTCACGGTGCAATCAAATTTGAGAACCCCATACCTATATAAACAAATGTGTTAAAGCACAGTTGGAGAGGTTTTCATTTTAAGAGAGAGTCATTTTCCTTTGTTAATGCATACTGCATCACTGTGAATATTATTCTACTGAAAACACAAAACAATTAGACTTTACGGATTTAGTTTATAAAACAAATATAATCTAAGTAACATTAATCAAATGACAAAATTTTATGTAATTTTAAAGTTATAATCTCTTATTTTACTCAATATTTTAGACTCTTCCTGCAGGAATCTATAGCTCTGTCTGTATTCAAAGGAGTAGAAAGTTTAGCCTGTTGCTTTTTATTATAATTATTAATGCTGTAAGCAAAATTCATTTTCTCAGGTTTTAAAGTGTAATGGAGAAGGACAATAAAATACTATATTTTTCTCACCTGCTTAGGAGTCACCCCAGGCATGCGAATATCCAATGCAAAATCAGTTAGACCAAGAGAAATCACTGGCCTGTTGTTTCCAAGGCATTCACTTGAAAGAGATCTAGTAGTATCTTTATACCTTAAGGGAAGAAAATTAAAAAATGGTTTCAAGTTTACTGATCAAGAGTTTGTATTTTTATATTACCCCCCCAAAAAAGTAATATGTATAAACGGGATTATCAGTAGATCATAAGGGAATTAGACACCCAACTCCCACTGATTTTCAATGTAATTTGGGAGTCTAACTCCGTTATGATTTTTTGAAAAAGGAGTTACTGAATATTTTGGAGGTGTTCCTGGGACGCATTAAAACAGACTGAACTATGAAGTACTAGCAAAAAAAGTTTACTACTAAAAATAAGCTCTTTATATGAACTACAGTTTAAGGTACAGACATATATGGAAATTTTTTCTTAATATGCCAAAATACATTATCTAGTGTTATCAGCTGAGGGAAAACAGCAACACTTTTTTAAAGTTCATATTTGATATAGAATTCAGTTTGAACATGGCAGAAAAAAATCAAAATCCTTCTGATTTTAGATTCTAGAGATGTTGATTTATTATATTTGAATACGTATTTGCCTACAGTATCTCCTGACTACCTACCAGTAAATTTTACAACTTAGTATGTGGGAGTTAAGTCAGTCTGTAGTGAATGCTACATATAACCAAAGAAACAAAGCAAATATTCAACTTGTTACTAATGGGGATTGCATGACAGAAACATTTAATGTCATGTAAATACTAAATATATCAATTGATAAATGTGATGTGGTAACTACAGAGTGTACATTGAATATATAATGCTATATTTTCTTATGTGCTAATACAGTGGATTTCCCCCACACATGCAACCACCAAATTTATCTACATAATTTAGTATTCAAGACCTAAAAAAATAAACACCAGATCCCTAATTACAGACTAGTTGACGCTATCTCGTGAAGAAGTAACAGTTTAGCTAGTAAACTCATGGGGACAGGGACAATATATATTATGTGTTAAGTACATCAGTGGAGCTACACACAAATCTTAAGTTATTGTTTTATTATTTAATCTTATCAATCATATTGCCAAGGCAGATTCACATTTCAAAGAGTAACAGATGGGGGGGTCAACAACAGATTCTTCTTTTTCAAGACTCCAAAATACAACAAAAGAGTGTCTTTCCAAACTCTGCAGAGGATCTCAGTTCAAGAAGCTAGCTACACTAAAATGTGTCTCCTCTGTAAATAATTTTTAGCTAGTACATACTTTTTAATCTTTATAACACTTTCATTAGACGAAGTGATAGCATCACTAAGCAGCATGCATTGAAAATACCAAAAGATGTTTTCTGCATAACCCACCTCTTAAAGACAGAAAGTGGGTTTTTGAAACCCAAACAGGTATTCTGAAAAACAAGCAACAGTATCAGCAGGTTGTTAATGAGGCCAGCCATGTCCACCCTGCTGTTCCTGGACCGATTAAGGGAGCAGAAAAAGGGTAGTGCAGCTCTGTCAGCTGTGTTCCTGACAATTAGGCAGCAGCAGCTCACTACTTCATTATTGTGTGTTCGGCAGGCATCTTACAGCTTTTGACACACCATCTGTCTTGGAAGGTGAAGCACTGTAAACCAGGAAGGTGGATGCTGTTAGGCTGTCTTTATTATTAGCTGCAAAAAATAAATCAGTTGAAGACTCTCCCTTTGCAGATAGGCTACACTGTACTTTTGTCCAGTTAAGGAGCTGAAGCAAGTGGCATTCCTGATGCTTTTCCCCCTGCTGTACTGTTAAACCTGCAGGTTACTTATCAGTCCACAGTGACAAAGGCTCCAAGTGGCATCACACAAACCAACGTCAGTCATCCTTCAGAACCTGTAAAAATAGAAGCAGATAAAGGATGACTAACACATTACAGCATTAGTCCTCAGCAAATCCCTGTTGACGCTTTTTAATACATTAGTACTTTCATAAGCTTTAGCCCAACCCAGTGAAAAATGCACCAAGTCTCTTACTGCCCTTCCATCATCATAAATGCACAAAAACTATTGCAATTCCTACACTATATATTGGGAAAGTTATTCAAATGGAAGATGGCTAAGTAGCATGTGAAAAGAGAAATAAATAGTGCTTAGAGCCAGCAGCATATGAGGTAAGGAAAGAAGCTTTAAAGGACAAAGCATGTTTATATATAAACATAAACATATACACACACACACACACACACCACATAGTATGTTGAATGCATTGCTGAGGGAAAACCCACATGACAAGCATCAAGGGATTTTAATTAAGAATTATTTTAAGCAAATAATTTAACAAGCATGTGATAGCAGAACATGCTATTTTCAACTAGTAAATAGGTGTTCCAGTCTTTTGTAAACTAGAGAAACTTAAGCTTAAGGTACTATTCCATTCACTGCTTTAAACTGTTGGAATCTAATTTTTCAGATTTATGAGACTCTGCATTTTAATTTAATGTTATAAATACAAAGTTTAAAATTTAAGAAACAAAACTACCAAATAATCCATGTGGTATTGCAGATGGACTAGTTCTCTCCAAAGTTCCAAAGGGAAGGGGAAAAAATCAGTTTGAAAATTTCACTTTCAGCAGTAAATACAAACATCAAATTCTAAATAACGTATAAAGATTCTGAAATATGATCCGGTGTTTCTTATAAAATAAATTTGAAAGGATAAATTAACTTTTTTGCCAGCAACCAGAGACTGTGATTAAAGAAACCAAATAAAGATAAAATGTTAAATATAATAAAATGTCTAAAATGAAATGTTTAACTTAAATTACTGTATTTAAAGTAAACTGCATTCCATTTTTCATAGAAAATATAAAAATTACATAATTTAACCATAATATTCATTTGCATGTATTTTATTCATTTGAAGACTATACAAAGTATATGGTTACTGAGAAATAACCGTATACGACCTCAACCCCTCGCTCTCAACCTGCCAAGGCCCAAGAGTGGGACAAAACGTCCCCAATATTCAGACAATAAGTAACTGTCCATGACCTTAGTTTCATGATTCTTTATTTGTGATGTACATAATTTTGAAGAATAAAGTTAGGGAATACTAAAAACAGTGGAAAATAGGGGGGCGGGGTACAGGGTTGGGCGGAGTATTGGGGTGCAGGGTATGGGGCATGGATGTGGACAGGTTTGGGGGTGGGGAGGCTGTAGTGGCAGGGTACAGGGGTGTGGATGTGGGCAGGCTGTAGTGGGAGGGTACAGGAGTTTGAGAGGTTTAGGGGTGGGTGAAGTGTGGGGGTGTGGATGTGGACAGGTTTTGGGGGTGGGAAGCCTGTAGTGGCAGGGTACAGGGAGTGTGGGGGAGTACGGGGGTGGGTGGGGTGTGCGGGAGCAGGGTACAGGGTGGGGATGTGGGGGGGATGTGGGCAGGCTGTGGTAGCAGGGTACAGGGAAAATAGGGAGTTCTGGGACTAAAGTGAGCAACAACTATCAAAATAAGGGACATATGAGAGACAAGCCCTCAACAGAGAGCAGATAACTGTACACTTAAATGTTAATTATAAGGTTATGGGTCACTAACTGTACAGCATCCTGGCACTTTGGCTGAGAATTCTCTTTTAGTACAATGTACATCAGACAGCCTTTAAAAGAATCATCAGTGTTTGTGATCACATGGAGGAGAAGAGAAATGCAAGTTTCGATCATCTCTTCTCCTCAAAACGGGTAAATTCAAAGTTTAACGAAGAATCTTTTATGATTCTTCCCCACCCTTTCCCC